ATTTTAATTTAATCATCTAATTTCAACCCATAAAAGAAACGGGTCCGATCGTTTGTTTCACAGGCTTAAACCACAGTTCAAACCTTTTTGCTGCACTGCTTTCTCTAGTAAAAATTTGACTCTGTTCAAAACTTTTTGGTTTGAGATAATCTGCACCCTCTCTCTTGAAGTTAGAGTCTTACAACTCGTTTAGTTGAAGGATTCGTTCTCTGATTCGAATCATGATTCATGGTTTACTACAGTATTTTTTCTCACAAAAAATATACGTAAATTAAAAATTATTCTAATCGATGAACCAAACGGGGCATGTACCTTGACAGTGAGGTGTAGCTGAGAAACATTAATGCTCTTTCTTGCTAGAGAAACCTTCACATTATTTGTTCACACGAATTAATATATAATTAGCCGAATGATGTAAAGCAAGAATGAAGAGAGAATTTTAGCAAGCCGAAAGTGGTTCAGCAAAAAAAGAAAAATGTAAAGCAAGTGGAGATGTATATAAACTGTAATATATACTACATTATCATCATGTTATATACTTACAAAAGGCACATTGTTCGGAGCCTAGAATTGCTTTAGCAAAGTTCACAAAACGTCTTCATTCTTTAGCCATGGGATTAGATATCAAGCAAAAAATGTTAGAAATCAGAATAATACAGTGGCTGAGTTTTCCGATTAATTACAACTTGTAAGACTGAAAGCTAATACGTATGATATTTTTATATGGATACTATGTCGTGTGAGAAACTTTAGCCGCAAAATAAGTGTTACGAAAGCAATTTACTTTGCTGAGTTTAGTGATCGCTGATCTTCAAGATTTGGCAAAGACAATAAATGATAATCCAATGAACCAAACCCTTTGACCAAGAAAAGAATATCTAAAGCTCCGAATGACTATGCATGAATGAGAAAACATAGGAAGCAATAGTCAAACCTGAACTTATAAGAGAGAGAAATGATGCCAGCATAATCATTATCTTGGTCATTATAACATAACATTTTAGATTTTAAGTTGTGGAACAACATTTTGCAGTTGTATCAGGACTATCTAGTTCAACACTACTGTAATTGTTAATAGTAAAACCAATTTCTAGATGCTTAGAACTGGTAGGTGGCAGAAATCAAAAGAGCATAAACAATGTCCATGTCCTCAAAGCTCAAAGTTGCATTTCTCTATAACATGTGATAATTATATAGGAGAAATCAAGGAGTCGTCCGCTTCGCTGAATTTGAATTTTCAATTCGAACTGAGATGTGATATTTCTAAGAGCTTTTCACTGTAACAAAAAAAGTTAGATGTGACATTTTTTAAGAGCTTTTAACTGTAAAAACTTAGGGTTCGTTTGGAATGATGATTCAAATAAAGGTGATTCTAATCATGATTCTGAAACCAGAACCATGATTAATGATTTTAGATTCAAATCATAATTCTGAAACCATGATTCAGAATCAGGGGTTTGAATCACCTTGAATCAAGAGGGGGTGGTTTTAGAATCATGAGTGATTCTAGTTTAAAACATCACATCAGATTTTGAATCATGATTCAGAATCATCCAAACCAAACACTGATTCTGAATCAGGATTCAAAATCATGATTCAGAATCACTGTAAATAAATACTGATTCTGAACCAGGATCCAGAATCACTGTAAATAAATACTGATTCTAAACCAGATCTAGAATCATGATTTTATATCCATCTACTAAACGAACCCTTAAAACTGAAAACTCAAATCGGTGAAATGAACGAGGCTCAAAACAATAAAAGCTCACCATTTCATTCCTCCTGACAACTTCTTGCATTTGATTCCAAAGAGTGCCCCTCACTACGTCCATGTCAACTTATTTTATAGTTGTTTCATAATGAACTTCCACTAAATTGTCCCGAAATTTTGAGTTCTATTGGCATTTCTTGTCGATAGCTTTAAAGATAAAAGAATCCTATTAAGCGTATTACAACATTGCACAAGGTGGAAAGATGAGGTAGAACCAAGAGAGAGGAGATAGAAATCAAAACAAAAATAGAACCAATAGATAATGGAGAAGGAGGACTCAAGAGGAGGAAATCTGAAATCTCAATATTAATTCATCAAACCAAGTCTGTAATTTAACTACTAACTACCTATTTAAAGCGAACCAAGTAACAAATTAGGAAACTAAATCAAAACAAAATAAAGAAATTACCAACTTAAATTGATAATAGGAAACTGACCTTAAACCCACAATGACATAAATCTCTAAATAAACTAAAACTAAATACTAAAAGAAAATAATGTTCTAATCTCACTTAATATAGCTTCAGTTAACTTATAACAAAAAAAAAATAAGAATTTAAAACAAAAAAAGCAATAGCAAAAAAAAAAAACAAAAAAACAAAACAATGAAGGAAAAAAAAAAAAAAAGGAGAGGCCTTCAAGCTTCAACTTCAATCCCACCTTTTTCTTAATTTAAAAAAAAAAAAAAAAAAAAAAAAAAAAAAAAAAAAAAAAAAACCCTTCAATCCCACTTTGTTGGAGTGCCAATTGGCCAAACTCAGGCCAGACTTAAAACTTCAAGGAAAACTATAGATAGAAACACACCCGAAGAGGCTGAAAGACAAGCTCAGCAGAGTCTTCAGCATCATGACAAACATATGCATCGTTGTATTAACCACTAACTACACTGTCCTTGTCCCATAATGGCATTGCTTCATCAAAACAATTGCTCTGCTTCCAACTGTAACTACCTAGAAATTTAAAACAAAGTAATCAGCATTTGATGAAAAAAAAAAAAAAGAACAGACTCTTCCAGCGCGAAATATATCTCAAGGAAAAGGCTGCAACCTGTATGTTTTTTATGTTGCTTTTCAAGGCACTGCAGTAAAAACAAATAAGTTCATTAGCTTCAACAAACAATAGAAAGGGTCCAAAAGTTTTTGAGTAATCAAGACACCTGATATGACATTGGATCACCAATGATTATATAACACTAAAAACGGTTCAAAAAACTTCACCAAAACAAAATAGACTGATCAGCTTACTGATTTTAGACCGGAACGAAGTCATAGGAGATATCGATTTACTCTAGAACAACTGAACTTTTACCATGGATGGATATTTAGTACCTGAACATTGGCAAGCAGAAACAGATTGACAAGATCCTCAAGTACGTAATGGCTACCTTCTGGAAGCGAATTACTGCGTCGTGATCGAATAGCAGGTAGCAGTAGAGACTTTGGATTTCTTGGGGGAGCAAAAATATCAGTCATGTCCTTGTCAGTGAATGCAGTGAATTCAAGATCAACCTTTGGGATTCTGATACTTCCAGTAATCAGGACCAGCCCATGCATTTTGCTTTGAAGTGAATCCAAGGCGTTGAAACAAGAACGTAGTGTTAGGACCTGATAGTTAGTAGTTACTTTTTAGTAGTCTTTTAGTAGTATAAATAAGAGCCGGGTGGCTAATGAGGGGAGGAGGAGATTTGTAGAGAGTGTCTAGTGCTGTGCACTTAGAGGTCGGGGGTCCTCGAAATTACCCATCTATCCTGTAATTTTTTCATTTTTGGTGTTGTTAATAAAGCTCGGATTTTCGGGTTCCTAACACATAGGGACTTTTTCAAATCTATCATTCATCTCAGATTCGTCTGAGGTACAGAATTCATTTTCCTACGCAAAAGAAAAAAGCTTATTTGCGTATCAAGCTTTAGTTTAAAGAAGGTTCTATTTGGAAAAAAAAAATGGAGAATTGGTGAACATAGATTACGTATACTTGAAATTATGAGATTATACCTGATGATCTTGGAATGTAGGATCTCCAGAACTAATGTTCTCATTCATTATCTCATCGTCATGGTCAAATAACCCAGGACCTGTTATAACTCTTGAGTAGAACTCATCTCCAAAAACTAGTTTGTAAGGAGAGAGTGCCCAAGTGATTTTAAACTCACATGCTAAACTCTTACTTTAACAATGTGGAACTCAACCAGGATCCTAACATACTACCACGCATCCGACACCGACGTCCACGGCGGCTCACTCTGGCCTTTTTAGGTCGCCCATTCCATAACGTGGGCCCGAGATGGGGTATACTCTGATACCAATTGTTAGAACCCTTAGGTAGAACTCATCCCCAAAAGTTAACTTGTAAGGAGAGAGTACCCAAGTGATTTTAAACCCACACACTAAGCACATACTTTAATAATGTGAGACTCAATCAGAATCTTAACAGGACCACAGTTTCCAGATGAAGTATCTAGATCATCTTCATTATCATGAAAGCAATTTTCTGAATTTTGGCCTACATTAAAATCTTGTCTAGAGCATTGATTATCTTCATCAAATAGGCAAATGATTTCCCCAAGAACTGGACAAATTTGTCCCCTTGTACTCATGTTCATCACCATTTCCTCAATAGATTCTACAAAGGAAAAATGAAAACGCTTGTCGAATGAGAATCAAAGAAAGACAAATGAAAATACAGGTAGGCTTTTGGCCACTCTAAACTGAAGAGAGAAGAATGCCGCATGTAGTTGTTAGAAGTACCTTGAGCAAATGAGAGATCAATTAAAGGTGAAATGTCGGGCCTGTTTGGTAATATTTTTAAAATAATTTTGTTTTTAACACAAAAATAAAAATGAGATTATTTTGAGTATTATTCTAAAACCGATTTTAAAATTGCGTTGTACATGTATCCCCTAATCCCTAATTTATAAAAGGATAAAAGTGGCAAATAAATATTTTGAAAACGATTTTTAAGTAAATAACACGTTTTTTAGACGATTGAAATCGCATATTTATTAGTGTATATGTATTTATCCGAGGCCTAAATGGATTTAATCCCCGTGTATGACAAATTGCGTTTGGAGAGAAAACAAACCAATGGATTTTAGACGAACAGCAATCAATGGATTCATCTGAAAGTTACCATAACAGAAAATAACAAGTCAAATCATCAAGATTATCATAAACACAAAGGCAAGGGGATTTTAGAAAAAATCTGTGAGCTTGAAGCTAAAAATGTCAAATTGTGGGGAACTATTTATACATTTTACTTGATAACGATTACATCAAGATAATTGAGACCACAAACATTCACTTCATTTTTTTTTTTTTTTGGTCCTCTTTGTTTTTCAGTGTCATTCTAAACAAATCATCTCTTTTCAATCAAGATTTTTACAGATTCTTGAAGGGTCTTATAAAGTGAAGCACTATCCACCATTAAGGTGAAAAAAAATATCCAATATGCCCCTAAATTTCTCGTTATCCAATTTGCTAACTAGAATTCTTCATGAGGAATGCTACTATACATCCTAAAATACCACCAGCAACAACCTGCAGCAAATAAAATCTAGGTCAAACATAGAGACCAACCAATATGTACAAATTTCGAGAATACAAAAATGGAAATTTGACGAACCTGCAATGGAGTGTGACCGAGCGAATCTCGTAGAGGTCGACAATTAGAGACGGGATGTTCTGGGGGTAGCTCACATACTATCTGATTTAATAACTGCAATGAGCAACATAGTACTGATCAGTCATAATTATGGAAAATTCTCTTAAGCAAGCACAGACATCTTGAAACTTTAATGTCAGAGAACGACTTTTGTCGCATAATACTTGAGAAAAGGAAAAGAAGAGCTAAGAAATGGTGACCAACATTTCAACTAAGACAACTAAAATGCCCAAAAGACAAGAAGAGAAAAGCAGCTGGAGCTCTGAACTACAAATGCTTAGTACGATCACATATTCCCAAGTCCATTCAACACACTCATAGAGAGTTTTGGAAACGTGAAAATCTATATACAGTAGGAGAATATAGAAAGCGGGAACTATACTTACTTCAGCTTGGCGACCGGCATGGAGTCTTACACCAGAAGCATCATACATTACCTGCAAGTAAATTAAAAATAAAATAAAAAGTTAAAACATATAGGCAGATAATTTCAGATGAATTCTAGCACAAGTTGGAACCATCTGTGGGAACTAAATAAGAGATGAGATGATAATACAAATGACAAAATCCATTTGTCTCATTTGTCATTTGTCATTTGGACAATTGAGTGCCATTAAGATATAGTAATACTAACATAGTTTAATTTTTTTCAGAAAACTTCCTTTTATTATAGGCAGTCAAATACAAAGGAAAGAGGATAAGAAATAAGCAATACAAATATACAAGACAAATAAAATAAGAACAAAATAAGGAAATCCCAAGGAACAGTAACATCCAATTATATCCATCCTATTGATATAGTTATCAGAGAAAATGGATGGCCCTTGAAGCTAATGGATGGTCCATTAACGCCCACAGTGAAGCTAAGAAATTTGCCTTCTCAAAGATGTCCAAAACCTCCAATCCCTTACCTTCAAAAATTCTAGAATTTCTTTCCATTCAAATTGTGCGAAGAAGTGAAATCACCATACCTCCCACAAAAACTTTGCCATTTTATTGGAACCGAATCCAAATCAGAACGTGAATCCTACCATCTTCTAGGGCGATTTGCGATGGTTAGGGAATACCCACAGAAAACCTGCCTCATTCAACAATTTATGCCATAAAACACAAAACCACTTTACAATGCAATAAAAGATGATCTATTGATTCCCCATCACTTCGACATAAGACACACCATGAAGGAGAAAGAGTGAAATGAGGATTTCTTCCACAAGCAACTTATAACCGAGAGATCACGTTAAATTTTATAAATAGAATGACCACAGATGTATATAAGTATCATGACTTGGCTCAATTGTCACTAACATGCTTTTTTTTCCGAACCAACAAACTTAACCAAAAGCCAGATGCTAGACTCAAATCAGAAGTAAAATTAGACTACTAAACCACGAGTTAAAAGACTAATGACATTATTCAACGTCACCAATCACAATGAGGAAGAAAAATATAGTAAGATCTAGGAGCGAACTGATATTAGAAACAAAAGATATTCCAGCATCAGATTAAGCATCTTGTACTCGAACTATAAAAGAGCATAAAATGATCAACCATGCACACACAAATGAATGAACAAGACCTGGTTATGGGTTACATACAACACATGCCAAGACGACGGCAATGGCAAATGCGGGTCCTCCGGTCCCTTCTTCGAAACCAATAGCGGCTGCAAGTGCTGTCACGGTAGCTGAGTGCGAAGAGGGCATTCCTCCTGACCCGAGCAATCTTCTAGAATCCCATCTCTTCTCCTTGTACCTGCACTCATATGAGATAATATTCAGAGACCACGCAAACCATTACAAGTAACAAAGATAGCAGAGACAATAAGAAACAAAAACAAGTACTTTTATTAACCAAACGATATTAAGATCCAAGTAAAATGCTACACTACTTATAGTATGGTAAACTTATGGATAATGACACGGATGCCAAATTATCTACCAAAAGTTTTATATAGGTTACATGGCAAGTGACCGAGATAATCTGAGTACGTCACATTCTACCCTTATAGTCCTACTTTTTACTATCAAATAAAAATGATTAGACAAGTAGAGAGTGACATATACTTTTGAAATTTCAAGTTTTACACCTAATTTTCTGAAAATTTTCAACTGTGACCTCATTCAATAGTTGAAATTTATAACTATATCCCGCAATATAACAAAATATCATCTCTTTTTTATTTTTTAAATTCTGCCCCACTGAAAAATTATTTTGGCTCCGAATTACAAGTAAATTGTCATGTTTCAACTGAATATTCAATTTATACAATTTATCATAAAAGAAAAAAGAAATAATTCATTAGTCCTATCACTTGGTAAAAAATTGGATAGATAACTTGGAATCCCCAACATGATCCAAGATTAATTTCACATGTAATTTGCACAGACCAAAAACAATAACAATCCTTTATATTCATAAACTAACAGCAATTTGAAACAGAAATGAAAGTTGAAAAAATTAAATATTCGCTTTGAACTGAGGAGTTACAAAATGAAAGCTAGTTCAAATCAGGGGACATAATTTTCAATCAAACCCATCACATATCTAGGAAATCTGAATAACCCTTTGACACCCATGAAGCGAAATAGCTATTCAACGAAGTACAACGTTCGAAAACCAAATTTGAGAATCGTACCAGGTGGTGAAGAGCTTGAGAAACTGAGCGAGAGCGAAGGCGAGGAACGCGGAGAGGAGAGGGAGGTTGGACGGGATGATGGACGGCTCCGATGCCGCCGATCGGAAGCTCGATGACGCATCGGCGGTCGTGATCACCTCCACCATTTGGGGATTCGAGCTCGGAGAAAGAAAAAAATGGCGATGAACGCTTGGAATCGGTCGTTGCGTAGCAGTTGTTATTTTTTTTATTTTTTTTCCTGAAAGAAATTATTCATTCGTTTTCGTTTCGGTTCTGATTCATTTTTGATTGGTAGTTAGCAAGTAGGTTCTCAAGTCTCAACCACGTTTTTAATTTTGATTTTCTATTAAAAAATAAATAATAATAAAACCGTGGATATTCAATTTTCCTTTTTTTAATTAAATATATGGATTTTTTTTTTTATAGTGGATCAATAGATGGATTTTTTTTTTATGTAGTCGAATTTTTATTTACATTTTTATCTTTTAAACTTAAAAATTCTAATTGTACTCTTAGGCCTCGTTCACTTCGCGGATTCGAGCTTTCAATTCGAACTGAGATGTAACATTTTTTGAGAGCTTTTCACTGTAGTAGAAAAAGTTAGATGTGACATTTTCTGAGAGTTTTTTACTGTAAAAACCTAAAATTAAAAACTCGAATCGGTGAAATGAACGAGGCCAACGTTTTGAATTAAAGTTCCGCTTAATTTTTTCTATAAGAACTTTTGTTAACAATAGACGTAAAAAGAGAGAATTAAATAAAAATTCTTAACAAAAAGGTGATTTATTGTTAAAATCTCGTATGTTAGTAGGAATAGATGTTTAAGTTTTGAAAATAAATTAACAAGTATTACATGAGTCGTGATTCTAAAAAAAAATTACAAGTTGATCTAAAAAATAATACTGGTCACTTATTAGGTTATAAAGACTGTTTAGATGCGTTTGAAACTCGTTCCAAAATAATTTTATTTTTTGTATGAAAATGGAAATGAAAATGTTTTTAATCTCAGACAGAAATCATTTTTAAAAATATGTTTAGTAGTTTTATTAAGAGATTATTTTCAGTATAAAAAAAATATATTAATGTCTTCCTCTCTTTCTTTGTGCTCGAGAGAGGAGAAAACGGAAACAAAAAATAAAAAACGATTAAAAGTCGTTTTTCATTTCTCTCACATTTTATACTAAATCAAAAAATTATTTTCATTTTCATTTTTTATCTTTAATTGTGTCAAACGTCATTTCTCTTCCATTTTTATTTAAAAAAAACATGAAAAATAAAAATAAAATCAACTTCAAACACGACATTTGTTTCTCTCAACAAGATCTTTTATAGACAGTATATATGGGTGATATACTTTGTAAGGTTTGCAGGAATATCTTGCCTCTGGACACGAAACCCACTAAAGCAACATTTTTCTTTTTTTGAAAACTCATGCTTATTTGTAATAGTATTAAATTAAAAACTTTATTTTATCCCCATAAAAAAGGTGAAGAAAATATCAACCCTGCTAATTATATGTACATTAAAGTTTGTTTTTATTCACTTTGTTTTTCTAGTTGCTTGATTTTTCTAGGTATACATGTTCTTTGAAAGAAATCTATACATATAATTTCTTTAAAATAAAAAAAGACTATGTATCACAATACTTTTACAGAAGAAGAACAACAAAGCATCCTAGCAATGGAATCACTGGACATGGCTGTGATATGTTGATGTTATAACTTTTCATCCCAGTTGTTTTTATTTGTCAATTTATTTTGTTTGCTTCATTTTCTCAATCTATTTTCCATAGTTATGGAGCAATTGACCAAATGAAGATGCAGATTAGAGGACGTTTCGTTGATGAATTCAGAATCATAATTCAGAATTATTCTCGGTTTACGTGTATTTCTTATGAGAGAAAATACTGTAACAAACCACGAATCATGATTCGAATTATATCACGAATCTACTAACCAAATGCTCAGTTAAACTTTCGGCAAACTAGTAAATGTTGAATAAAGTAATCTTGTTAGAACTTGACGAGGACAGTTCACTACCTATAATAAACTATATCAAACATATCTTCATAAGATTTTGGTAAATACTGTTTTATTAAATTTATTTTGGTCACATTTATTATTTATTTTTGTACTGTCTACGTTAATGTATGTTTTTTTTTTTCTCTCCTTTGTTATCCACAAAGTTATTGAAGTATATTTAGGGGTTGTTCGGCAGCCATTTTTTTGAGTCAAAAACTCAAAAAAAGTAACTCGAGTTATAACTTTATTCAAGTTCATATTTTTTTAAGTTTGAACTCGAATTTGGGACTAAAATTCGAGTTCAAGTTTCCCCTTCAACTCGAGTTCAGAAACTCGAACTCAAATTAATGAACAATATTTTTTCTATTCTTAAAAATGTTATAACTTTTTCGTTTTGATTCTGATTGAGATGATTTTTTTTATGCTTTGACAACGCAAAGACGAATAAAACCCCACCCATATACCCTATTAAAATTTTTTATCAGCATTGAGTTTTTATTAAAATACTATATAAATATAAATTCAAGTTTTGACTCAGTCAAATACAAACTCAAAAAGATTCTTATCTCAAACCATAACTCAAATGTACACAACCAAACACAAAATTACAACTTTAACTCAAATTATAACTCAAACTCAACTTAAAATCTACACTCAAATCACCTAACTCAGAGGGTAAAAGAACATTCCCTTAATAATTTGATATAGGATATTTGAATCCCTTTCAAAGTACGGAAAACACGTTGGGAACAATTGACATCACGTGAATCGTGTTAGAACTTGATATGTCGTTTATACACGTTTTAGTGGAAACACGATATAAACGACATGTCACTTTAGTGGGTTTTTTTTTTTTTTTAAATGCCATTATTGTGTTAAGGTTAGGTATAATACTCCAAATGCAGCATGTGTATTCAGGGTAAAACGATTGTTTATTGGTTTTTTTTTTTTTTTTTTTTGTGAAAAAGGAATCTGTTCTCACGTCACTACTTTAAAAGGACCCAATTGAAATCAGACGTGTCGAGAAAAGTGCATTATTTATCGTAAACTTATTATTTTTATCATTTTAAATAATTAAATGTTATTATAATTTTTTGTTTTTTTATTAATTGAATGATAGTTAGTTATTTTTAATAAAATAAAATAAATAATATTTTTTTATTATTTTAAGTGGTGTTTTTGAAATTTTTTCCTTTCGTTATCCACCGCCCAGGGAGCTCAAGTCACAATGGACCCAAGTCATCTTTGACATGTCTATTAAGAGATAGCGTTTGGTAGAGGGATTCGTTCTCTGATTCGAATCATGATTCGTGGTTCGTTACAGTATTTTCTCTCACAAAAAATACACGTAAATCAAAAATGATTCGAATCACATAGTTTGAATCCTCCAACCAAACAAAAAAATTAGATAAATACCTCTTAAAAGTATATGAATTGTGGTTTTAGTTAAATAATTATATTAACAAAAAAGTATAAATTAAAAATGAGGAGTAAAAATCGAAACTCATACGGATTTAAAAATAAATTTTATAAATTTTTTCATAATATTTAATCATAATCGCACTGTAGAAGGAGCTATAATAAAAGGAGAAAGAGCCTATTAAGTCATCTTCTCGTTGTCATGCCACCACTACCGGGTGGTCAGTTGTTTATTTGGCCTATTGCTTTGTGATGATACATTACATTATGTGTGCCAGACAACTATTACGTAATCAATTTTTATTTTAAACGCACATGTTAGTATATTAATTTAGATGATCAATTTTATAGAATTTTCTCTAAAATATAGTGATAAATATCGTTCTCGTACGTAATCAAGTCATTGTTTATTCTTCCAGCCCAGAAAAAGGTCATTACTTTAATCGGGACGATGGCGATTAATTTGTCAGGTGACAATTAGGACAAAAAAAATGATTAAACAAATTAAAGAATCTTTTGAGTGAATCTCAAAAAGGTGGAGTCAATGACAAGTTGTACAGTCTTTTTATATTATTTTAGATATTGTTAAAAAAAAAATGGCAATTTCTACGGTAGAACAATGGAGCCTTTTTTTTTCCGATTCATTAAGGGCCTATTCTTTTGTTTAAAAATTAAAAAAAAAAAAGACATTTCGAATTCTAATTTTATTTAAATTTTTATTTTTTTAAGTTTTAATTTTATTCAATTTTATTCAAGTTATAACTTTAACTCAAATAATAACTCAAAAATTACACTCAAGTTACACTCCAAAATAACAGACCCTAAATTTTTATATATTTACAGAAGGAACAATTTTATATGACACGTGATAAATTTTTAATATGAATATGTATAAATTTAATTGTTAATAATTTAATTCAACAATTAAAAAGTATGGCTCCATTGGTGGAATAAAAAAGGAGGTTTCATCGTAGAATTTACCAAAAAAATATTCTTATTATTCATTAGAAAATAAAAAACAAATCTTTTTGGTAAAAAAATTATGCTTTTCTTTTATGACATTATAAATATACTAAAAAGAAGACATGAAACATTATTCACACACTCACATTTTGTTGTACATTGTACATTAAGGGCTCATTCATTTCACCGATTCGAATTTTTAGTTTTAGGTTTTTACAGTAAAAAACTCTCAGAAAATGTCACATATAACTTTTTTTGCTACAGTAAAAAGCTCTCAAAAAATGTCACATCTCAGCTCAAATTGAAAACTCGAATCTGCGAAGTGAACGAGGCCTAAAATTCTCTAAGTTTTGGTTTTGTCCGTTCATTTTGAATTGCCAAGTTTGTCATTATTTCCTCTCTCTTTTTATCTTTCCTAGGCAGGGGCTTTTCGGTCTTTCACATGGAGATCGCCACATGGTGACTATCAGCTAGTTGAAGGAGAAAGTTGTGGGGCCCACCTCTAGCGGCTGAATTGCCAAGTTTGTCCTTCTTTCCCCTCTTTTCTCTTTCTTGGGCGGGGGCTTTTGGGTCTTTCACATGAAGGCCGCCATGTGTTGACTCTCGACTGGCTGAAGGAGAAAGTGGCAGGGCCCACTACTGTACACCTGCCACTATTGCTGAAAGCTCCTCACTTGCGCGTGCTTCTCATTCACATATCTAAGCCATCGAAATTATTGATCAGACGGCTTCAAAGCATTTCTGGTTTATTTTTATTGTTTATTATATTTATTCACTATTTTGAATTGATTTGGAGTCTAATTTTGTCAGTTTTATCACAGTTTTGCGCCAAATTTTTAATATTACTCGGATAAAAAAAAACCATGAATAATATAATG